ATTTTTTTCAGTTGGTAGTCCAGCACCACAACGAAACTCACTGCCATTGAGTAGATTCCAATTCATACCGATCCTCTTTGGGTTTCCAAGATGGAAAATCTTTATGGAAGTAGATTGCTCAGTCTTCCTTCTGCAGAGTGGCTGGTGCATTTGAACTGCGAACTTCCTGGTTAGCAGTCAAATGCAATAGGCACTACTACACCCCCAAAGCTCCTTATTTTTGGTTTTATTCCAGCAATTAACCATTTTTGCCACCCAAAATATGACCTCCATAATACAAGGAATAGTGTCTGTCATGCTCATTGCTATTTCCCTACAACCTAACAGTATCTTGTACATATTAAAAGACCTCAGTAAATTTTGTCAATTAAAGTAATAAAGTATATCTTCTGAATATTTTGATTTTAGGAAAAAATAGCTTTTGTTATTAATACTCTAATACAGGTTAACTATACATACATTGCTGTTGTTGGTACGTGTCATCATGTTGACACTGACTCATAGCAACCCAGTGTATACAAGAGAACAAAACAATGCCCAGTCCTGTGCCGTCCTCAACATCCTTGGTAGCTTTAAGCCCATCCTTGCAGCCACTGTGTCAATCCATTGCGTTGAGGGTCTTCCCCCTTTTCGCTGACCTTCTACTTTACCAAGCATTATATCTTTCTCTAGGAGCTTTGGTAGCATAGTGCCTAAGGCCCTTGACTGCTAACCAGAAGGCTGGCGGTTCAAACCCACCAGCCACTCCTCAGAAGGAAGGTTGGACAATCTACTTCTGTAGTGATACTGCCTCGGAAACCCAAGGAGGGGTCGCTATGAGTCCGGGCCGACTCGACGACTCGACGGCAGTGTGTTGCGTTGTTGTTGCATATATCCTTCTCTAGGGACTGGTCCCTTCTGACAATATGACCAAACCACATGAGACAAGTCTGGCCATTCTCGCTTCCAAGAAGCATTCCTACTGCACTTCTTCCAGTGCAGATTTGGTTGTTCTTCTGGCAGTCACTGGTATTTTCAGTATTCTTCACCAACACCACAATTCAAAGGCATCGACTCTTCTGTCTTACTTATCCATTGTCCAGCATTCATATGTATATGAGGCAATTGAAAATATTATGGCTTAGGTCAGGCACACCTTAGTCTTCAAGGTGACATCTTTGCTCTTGAATACTTTAAAGAGGTCTTTTTGTAGCAGATCTGCCCAGTACAGTATGACATCTGATTTCCTGACTGCTGCTTCCATAGTTGTTGGTTGTGGATTGAAGTAAAATGAAATCTTTGATAACTTCAGTCTTTTCTCCATTTGTCGTGATGTTGGTTATTGGTCCAGTTGTGAGGATTTTTGTTTTCTTTATGTTGAGATATAATCCATACTACAGTCTTTAATCTTCATCAGTAAGTGCTTCAACTCATCCTCACTTTCCGCAAGCAAGGCTGTCATCTCCTTATCACAGGTATTAAAGAATCCTCCCCCAATCCTGATTCCATATTCTTTTTCATAAAGTTCAGCTTCTCAGATTATTTGGTCAGCATACAGATTGAGTAAATATGGTGAAAGGATACAGTCCTAATACACACCCATTTGGATTTTAAACCATGTAGTATCCCCTTGTTCTGTTTGAATGACAGCCTGTTGGTCTATGTTCAGGTACCTCATAAGCACAATTAAGTGTTCCGGAATTCCCATTCTTCGCAATGTTATTCATAATTTGTTACGATCCACACAGTCGAATGCCTTTTCATAGTAAATAAAACACAGGTAAATATCTTTCTGGTATTCTTAGTTTTCAGCCAAGATCCAGCTGATATCAGCAATGATATTCGTCGTTCCATGTCCTCTTCTGTATCCAGTCTGAATTTCTGGAAGTTCCCTGTCAATATACTGCTGCATCCATATTTGAGTTTCTTCAGCAAAATTTTATTTGTGTGTGAAATTAATGATATTGTTAGATAATTTCCACATTCTCTTGGATAACCTTTCCTTCGAATGGGCACAAATATCGATCTCTTCTAGTTGGTTGGCCAGGTAGCTATCTAACAAATGTCTTGGCATAAACAAGTAAGCACCTCCAGCACTGCATCCATTTGTTGAAACATCTCAATGAGTATTCCATCAATTTCTGTAGTCTTGTTTTTTGTCAATTCCTTCAGTGCTGCTTGAACTTCATCGTTCAATACCATTGGTTCTTGATCATATGCTACCTCCTCAAATGGCTGAACGTCAACCAATTCTTTTTGGTACAGTGACTCTGTGTATTCTTTCCAACTCCTTTGGATGCTTCCTGCATCACTGAATGTTTTTCCCATAAAAAAAAATGAAACAAAACTGCTCATAGTGACCCTAGGACAGGATTGAACTGCTGCCATAGGGTTTCCAACGCTGTAAATCTTTACAGAGGCACATTGCCTCATCTTTGTGGAGTGGCTGGGGGGTTCAAACTGGTGACCTTAGGGTAAGCAACTCAATGCTTTAACACAGTTCCACCAGAGCTCATTTTTTGCCCACATAATCCTTCAGTATTATAATTCAAGGCTTGAAGCTTTTCTTCAGTTCTTTCAGCTTGAGTAATGCTGAGTATGTTCTTCCCTTTTGGTTTTCTAACTCCAGGTCTTTGCACATTCCATTATAGTACTTTACTTTGTCTTCTCAAGCTGCCCTTTGAAATGTTCTTTTCAGCTCCTTTATTTCATCATTTCTCCCATTTGCTTTAACTACTGTACATTCAAGAGCAAGTTTGAGTCTCTTCTGACATTCACTTTGGTCTTTTCTTCCTGTCCTGTATTTTTAATGACCTTTTGCTTTTACATAACATTAGAAAATATAAAAAAGAATAAAACAAAAAACCTATAAGCCTGTATTAATATTTTAGTGTGTATCTTTTTATCGGATTGTTATGAGACATTTGTTTTGCTTAGATTTTGTTGGTTAAAAAAAAGAAAAAGGGACAATCTAAATGAAAAAAGGCTAAGCTGTATTTTCCAAATGACAGCTTCTTTCTAAGGACAATTTCACCAATTAACCTTTAATCAATTTAAGTAAGCTGACAAATCAAGTGAAGTCCATTTGATTTAATTAGGAAAACCAAGCTGAAGGAATTTAAAGAGTAATCATTGAGAAATCAGTATAGGTAAAACCAGAACACATTGTCCTTTGAAATGTAATTTCAAGCCTGTATGTCATTGATTTAAATAAGGTAAGTGTTGAATTAGGAGTCCCAGGGTGGTACAAACAGTTAAGGCTGTTGTTGTTGTTATGTGCCATGGGGTCCAACTCATAGCGACCCCTCCTTGGGTTTCCGAGGCAGTTATCACTATGGAAGTAGATTGTCCAACCTTCCTTCCAAGGAGTAGCTGGTGGGTTTGAACTGCCAGCCTTCTGGCTAGCAGTCAAGTGCCTTAGGCACTACCAGAGCTCCTAGCTGCTAAATAAAAAGCTAGAGGTTAGAGGAGTCTTGGAAGAAAGGCCTAGCAACCTACCTCCTACTTGTGCAAAATGAGCCACTGAAAACCCTGTGGAGCAAAATTCTACTCTGACACACATGGGGTTGCCAAGAGTTGCAACTGCTGAATCAATGCAGTTTACAGAGTATCATGAAGTTTTAGGGTAAATTTAAAGGCCAGCTAATAAATGGCCAAACTAATAATGCATCAAACACAAGAAGAAAGGTTTTCCTAATAAGGTAATATTTTATATCTCTTCAAGCATTCCAAATTATATTTACTGTTTATAATAGCAAATATATCTAACTTTTAGTTTCAAAAACACGTAGGATCCACTAGACAGTATTGCCATCATCATTTTATCTCTTATTCCTAGGATAGTTTGTTAGGTGAATGAATGAATGAAAATTTGTTTAAATCTATCCTTTATTTTCCAAAACTGCACATTTCCCTGGGCACAAAGAAGTGAATAATTTTTTCCACACTGTTTTAGACCAGGACAGTGGTACATCTAGGAAGGAAACCATTATCAGACAGCTAATAACTTATGTATTACAGGTTCATACAAGTTCCTTTGTTCCTGTTAAACAGAACACGGAGCGGTGGCTAAGGCAACAAGAGCATTCAGGACACACGTGACAACTATCCTTGTGAGGGATGTCCAGCTCTGTTCCCTTCCCAGGCCACGCCTCATGGGGCTCTGGGTCTTGTTAACCCAGAGGCTCAACATCTCCATCAAGTTTAGGATTAGACTCAGCAAATGTCACTGCCCCTGAGCCCTTCCTGCTATGACCTTATGTGATCTGACTGGAGAAGAAATGAGGAGTAGGAAATCATCATGCTTGAAAATGTGAAAACACAATTTTAAAATGAATTACAGAGGACTAGGATGACTGATCAAACTCAACTCAAAATGCACAATGTCATTTACCTGAAGCAGAAGAATGAATTGTGGAAATCTCTGTATTGGTTTCATCATCAAACTGTAGAGTGTAATTCGATCTGGACTTGATTCCTGGCACTGCTGCAATGAGAAAGTTTAATTGTTGACTCATATTTGAAAACAGCAGTATTCTCCCCAATCTTAAAGAATTAACTGGGCTGTAAATTTACCTGTCTTGGAAGGAAGATGGGGCAATCTACTTCTGTAGTGATACTGCCGACTCGACGGCACATAACAACAACAACAACAAATTTACCTCTATGAAGAAATTTCATCAAAATTTGTTTCAAAATACTATCTATACCTGCTGTGGGGGAGAATTCTCTGTAGTAGCTATTGATTGTATAATGTAAGGGCCAAATCTCACTACTGTGGGCTTAACGCTGGGTAATAAAAATTTACCCCACGGTAGGGCATCAGGGAGACTCCAGGAGGTGACACTAATGTCTGTGTACTTACTGGCTGCAAAGTTGGCCACCAGGAGAGGTTAGCAGCCCCTTCTGTTGCCTTTTTTTTTTTTTTAATTCAGTTGCCAAGGACTCATTTCTGACTCATGGCAACCTCCTGTGTGTCAAAGTAAACTGTACTCTGCAGGGTTTTCAATGGTTGATTTTTTTCAGAAGTAGATCTTCTGGTGTTTCCTCTAGGAACCTCTGGGTAGAATGAATCTCAAACCTTTCTGTTAGCAGCCGAGCATACTAACCATGTATACCACCTAGAGACCCAGCTCCGAAAAAAATCAGCCATTGAAAACCCTGTGAAGCACAGTTCTATTTTGACACACACAGAGTTGACATGAGTTGGGATCAACCAATGGCAACTGATTTCTTGTTGCTAGGGCAGAAGAAACCTCTAATGCCTGAGGTTGCTCGTCTGCTTGCAGGCAGGTGACCAGAGCAGTGCTCTCACTCACCTCACAAAGCATTGTTAAGAGGTGTTCCATTATGTTTGAGATAAAAAAAAAAAAAAAAATTTAAATTATGTTTGTGGATCTGACCATTGGGTTGCATTCTCAGGGTGTCCAGTTAATTTCAATTAAGGTCACTGTCTAGTGCAGAAGAAAGAGCTCAGACTGAGAGAGACACATTGGCTACTCAGCTCTGCCAGGTACCAGCTGTGTGAAATGGGCAAGTAATGTAACCTTTCTCTGCTGGAAGAATTACATGAGATGGTGATGACAGTGGCGGTGGTTGTGGTGGGATGCGTGTCTATGTAAAGACAGGGAGAGGGCATGTAGGAGGATGCCTGTCAGATGGCAAGGTGATCAGTGGTCATTGTTGCTGCCGATGTTGAAATCTTTTCACTGTTGGCATCAGAAAGACCATAACAAAACCCTCAGATGAAATAGATTTTTAATTTGTTCAGTGCTTTTTCTTCTTAAGAGAAAGAAATGCTGTAAGATCAAAAGTACATAGCGTACCACAACTCTTCAAAGTTGGGAACTGATTTAATCATTTAGCAAACCTTTATTGGCCACCTACTATGTTCTAGCAATAGCAGGAATCACTTACTAAATAATAAAGAGGGAGAAAAAACATTTTGGCTTAATAAAACATTGTTGTTGGCAGAAACAGTTGGCATGTGTTCACTCACCCCAGGTAACAGAAGTTCTAACAATACAGTTCAAGTAACAAGAACACACTTTGTTCTAAGGTTTTTATAATGCAAATTGGAGCCTCATGCAAATGAGACTCTGAGCTACTGTGCATGGCTATAGCTTTTGAAAGAGAATTTTAATTTAGTTCAAATGTGCAGCAAACTTCCCTGTCATATTTACATCACAGGATTTGATAAGTATCTATGACTGGGGAAAAGCACTGCCAGCTGATTAAATAACATATGTCCATATTCATTAGGAATATTTTTTAAAGGAAGTCAGGGAAACATTCTTCATAACTTCAAAGTCAGACAATCTCAGAGGAAGGTCATCAGTTATCTCCCCTTAACATCAGAGGAGAAAAAAAAAGCAAATGTTCCCACCAACTGGCGGTTTACCCTTAGGGGGTATGCCTTTCCAGGCTCTTTCAGATTACTCTGACCCTAAAGAGGCCCTTTTACCAATTCAGAATCTAAATGCTATGCTTCTGTTATTCCTAGTATCATGCTGAAGCACTGGAAGAAATAGGCTACATTCTTTGGGGTTCTGATCTTAATGTCTGTCTGTCACTACAGCCAGCTGGAGCCAACCAGATGGTGTCAAGCAATTTAAACATATATAATTTTAAGGATAGCAAATAAAAGTTATTTTCCAAAGGCCTAATATTCATCTTCATTTCTAGCATTAATCTAATACCTAGGGTTTGTTGGCCCTGAAATTTTCATAATAAATATTACACATTTAGCAGCAAAGTCTGGTGAAGTTTCATTATCAAGTAGTTTGACATGGAACCCGCTATCAGAGGTTGTTAAAACCAAACTGAAAAAAAATGTGCTTACCTTTAAAAATTCAAGAAAAGCAGGCTTTGTAGCACATGTTTTCTTTAAGATTGCCACAGCTGTGCTAAAATTATTCACATATTCACTATAAGCATCCAGTACCATAGATTTAGAAAACTGAAATATTGGAGGAAATGGAGAAATATCAATAATGTGTGGAGTCCACATACTCCTTTTTCCAATTTAAAATAAAGAGACCATTTGAAGCCTGCCCTAGGAATAAATTTTAAATCACTGTGTGTTCTAATAGAACATACTTTATTATGACTGTGAGTGATTTTTTTTTTTTTTCTTTTCTTTTCTTTTAGCAAGCTTGTTAGAAATTGTTTAAATGGCTGGTTGAAATTCACTTTGGTGATCTCAATGCACTTTTGGAGTCCCTGGGAAGTGTTTGCTGCTAACCAAGAGGTTGGGGGTTTGAGTCTATGTAGAGGTGCCTCAGAAGAAAAGTCTGGCAACCTATTTCTGAAAAACCAGCCACTGAAAACTATATGGAGCTCCATTCTACTCTGACAGTTAGTCACTATGAGTTGGAGTCCACTTGATGGCAACTGGTAAAATGCATTTTTAGGCATCATTGTTCAACATCAAAGCAGTGTAGGTTTTAGTTAAGAAATGCTTCCTGCTTATAAAACTTAGAAAGATAATTACAGCTGTTTTCCTTTAAATTGCCACCAAGCCTTATTTGGTGGATTCTGTCTCAGGGCCAGAATGACATGCACCTTGATAGATGGCAGTCAAAATATATTGGCAATCAACTCTGGAAATGTACCAGGACACAAAGGCCACTGATACCCTCCCTGCTTCTCCAGGTTCAGGTAAAGTGTCATTCATATTCATTTTCCTAAAAGCACAAATGTTTCAAGAGGCAGAAACTCTTGCCCTTGTTATCAACTCTCAAACAGGGGAAAAAGTATCCCATCTTATTATACTATATTCCACATGTCCTCTAGGACAGATGGCAATACCCATAAATAGAGGTCTGATGTGGCTATCACTTAGAGCAGGAATGCTTTAATCTGAATCATACATTGTTTTAAAAACATGCTTTAATTTTTAAAAAATGTTCTCTAGGTAAATATTTTAAGAAAAAGGATATAGTGAAAGTTGAAGAAGAAATATAAAATAGCCAGAAAATTGAATAACAAAAAATAGCATATTTTTTTTGTGTTTCTTATAAAGATCCATGAAGGGTATTATGTAAATATTCTAGTCATAACTTTGCTTCTAATGTTATGTTCAAAGCATCCTGTAATTTATACACTTCATCAAGCACATATACAAATTACATAAAAAAAAATGTTTCCTACATCATTATTCATTTAAGTAAAATAATACCTTAAAAAAAAAAAAAACAACTTTTAAGCTTATAACCCTCTGATAACATTATCATCTTAAATCAATTACACAGTCAAATCTGTTATATCCAAAAATGTTCTACTTCTAGATAAAAATCTAACCAATACACAATTCCTAAAATGACTCAGGATTGCCCAGTGCAGACACTTGGTGCTGATATTTTCCAGGCAGCTAACAAACATTTCTTCTGCCAGGAAATGTTAATACTACTATTCATTGGGTTTTGTGTTGCATCAGCTTGCATTCCATTACATCCTGTGTCACAGTTCAGGGCTGAAAGAAAGACTAACTACCCAACATAAAACTGTACATCAGATAGTGAAAATTTGAGAAAAACACCCAGATATTTCCCCACAGCATGTTTTTACTGGGTATGGATAATTAAGTACACAAAAAGTGAACTAGATATAAGGGGACTGATAGTCTAATGTAAGAAAGTTTAAGTATGAAAATTCTGCAATATCATCAAATAAGCACAGCCCTAGTTCAGAAGCAAAAAGGATTATTAAATTTCATAATGATGTATCCAAAATTTGATAAAATACCTATTATGAAAACTTAAAAAATGCATCTTTTCCCCTAAGCATATGAATATTTATCTTGGGCTTCCTGAGTAACGTTCATTTGAGTCTGAAACAGCATAATGATAATTTTCTCTAACATATGTACTTGGACAAAAGTGGTATGACATCAAATTGGTCTAGACAGAGAACTATCTACTTTCATCTTACAAATCTTTATGGAAAGCATCACTGATCCTACTGTTAAGACAGTGGACATTAAGTTTACAACATCATTCTAAGTATGAAAAAAGAGGGTCTGAGCAGAGAACTCTACAGAATGTCTGGTGTACTAGCTTAATTACCGAAGCAACGAAGACATCACCAATCATCTCAACAGAATCCCACTCAGATACTCGACTGGCCAGGGCTATCTGAAACATGGAATGGCACTGCAAGATTTCTTTAATTCGATAGAACACCATCTTTAGTTTCCTTTCACTCAGAATCTTTGGCTCCATCTCAGACAGTGGTTTCTCATACAGCTAAGACAAAAATAAATCAAGATGGCACAAACATTTTGAAGGAGATAAAAAAGAATATCTAAAAATTTCCTTGTAGAATTTTCTTATGTAAATTATATTGGAAAACCAAGCAATACATATGTTATATGTTGATGTCATGTCACATGTCTATATCAACACATAGAAACAATACTTACATTCTTTATTTTGTATATTTGCATATTTTAGTGATTCATAAATATATAGACATAGAAACTTGCATGTAACAAAATATATATAAGTGTATAAATGGTTCATTATATATATAAATATAACATTTGAGTACCTCCAAAACCCTCTTAAGAGCATCTACGTAGTTCTTCTCACTGTCAACAACTGAACCCAGAATATATCTTCTTACAACCTGTTGGAAATTGGAAAATACTACGGTAGAAAATCATTTCAGAAAATGTACAGATAAATTTTACTCTGTGTTGAGGCTTGTTAATAAAGAAGTTATTTTTGCCTCCTGAAACAGGAGATAGAGGAAAAGGAAAACTCTTACTCTCTCACTCTCAAAGCCTTTTAAAATATATTAAATTTTTGTGTTAATGAAATAGCATTAGACACAAAACATACCGCCCTCCCTCATGATGATTATTCCTGAAATCTCAAATTATAAATTACACCTACAGCACAACAAGTAAAATTATGTTGTTGTTGTTATGTGCCATCGAATCAGACTCTACTCATAGCGATCCCTCCTTGGGTTTCCACCGCCAGCCTTCTGGTTAGCATTCAAGTGCCTTAGCCACTATGCTACCAGGGTAAAATTATAGCATTGAAAATAAATTTGTTTATTTATGTAACAAGCATGTTTTATTGTTTACCACTGAGTGGATTCTGACTCATAGCAAACCTATAGGACACAGTGGAACTGTCCCATGGGGCTTCCAAGGCTGTAATCTTTTTGGGAGCAGATTGCCAGGTCTTTTCTCCTGGAGGGGCAGCTAGTGGTTTTGAACCACAGATGTTTTGGTTAGCAGCTGTGCACTTAACTATTGTGCCACTAGGGCTCTTTGTAACAAGCATGTTGTTGTTGTTGTTAGGTGCCGTTGAGTCATTTCCGACTCATAGCGACCCCATGCACAGCAGAACGAAACAAGCATAACTGACTGTATTTTATGTGCTGAAGTCTAAATTAAATGATATTTCAAGTATAAATTCAGTATAAAAAAGTTCCAGTCTTGACTCAGAGAATGCTGTTAGCAACACTTACCTAAAATAATTATTGCAAAAGTTATAGAAAAACAAAAAGCTTTTGGAAGGTGAAGGAATAGTTTTGTTTTTGCAAAGATCTTTTGACCATGCAAAGATATTTTGATCTACAAGGTCAAGCATACAATGGGTAAATTACTAGTGACATTTACAGGTGCAAAAACACCTCTATAATTTAAGACATTTACATTTCAAATATTAGCATTGTCATTTGTTCTTGCTTTTCATTGTTTTTTGTTTTTGTTTGTAGTTGTTGAACAACTACAAACTTCTGGCTCTATAAATTCTATTAAAGGCCAATGATGATAATTGGCACTTTCATCAAACCTAAACACATTTTGGCAATTTTGATCACAAATAAATGGAAAATAGATCATAATACTACAATACAATTGATTCTAAACTACAGAGGCATGCACGCACACAGACACAGATGCCAGAATATTTTCCATAACCAAGCATTTCTTTTAACAGGCAATCACCACCAGCCAGCCCAGAGAGCGCATCATTTAATGAATCTGCACTGCCACCTAGTGGGTAAAGAGAGAATTTTCCACTAAAGAAATGTCTACAGTTAAGAAAATTACAGGACAACCAAGATTTACAAAACATTATTAACAAGGGTGTGATTATTTTCTATATAAAAAGAAATACAAGAATAAATTCTTCTAGCATACTTAAGAAAACAATGTATTAAAAAATATAGATGTGGCCGAGATTAAAAAAGAAAATGCAACACCAGAAACCGGGAAACAAGATTCACTATCTATGTCAATTCACTAAACCTGTCTGACTGCAGACACTTTATTTTTAAAATGGGGTTTTAGCCCCTAGGTTAACAAGAGACCCCAAATCTGGCTGATCATCAGAATCCAGGATAGTCTTTGCTTCCCAGCATTCAGATTCCCAGACCTTAGGCCATATTTCCTAAATCAGAACATTTGAAGTCAAGCTTAGTGATTTATAATTTAAAAAAAAAAAAA